TCCTCTAACTATAGAAAAATGGGGTGCATTTAACATCACGCTCGGCTGCCTACGAGTAGGCATTGAGCTTATCCCGTCAACGATGAAAAAGTAACATATTTATATTCAAGGTGGATACGTTTATTATAAACTATGTCACGTTCCTTAAATATCTCCTAGGATTTTTGAAGTTTCTTACATATTTGCATAAGCCTTCATAAGTTTAGAAAAGTTACAATATCGTTCATGAAACATTGTTAATACTACTTTTTAGTTTGAATTAAGAATATTTAATGGTTATATTTAAAATGATTAAGATAATATTATACCTGTATTAAGTAAAGAAAAACAGAGAAAGAAGTTGACATTACTTTTCCGCACTGCCCTTTATAAATGTCCTCCTGCCTTATTGCGTTCCAGCTTAGATGGCAATAAATAAAAACTACAATGAATAAACCAACATAGGTTGACACTTGAGGATTACTATTCCTTGCTTTTGAAATATGATGTTTTGTAACTTTGTATTACACATGAGAAGAAATAAGGGTCAGTTAGATTGTGTAATTGGATAAGTTAAAAAACTTTCTCAGTATATGAAATAGGTTAATTGAAGTAAAACTTTTATAACGCCTAAAAATTTTTCCTCTTATTTATTGCATGTCGCATTACAGGTAACCTACTGAGGTTTGCCCCTTTTACTTTAGTTGTATACTGATACAACTAAAGTAAAAGGGGCTAGGTAAAGTAGCTAATATGGAGAGCAGTTGTCGTCGCTTGTCTATCGTCTTCGTATATCTGTACATTGTACATATATACGGTTCCATTCTCACAGATATTTGCAAGTGCTTCGGGAAATTTGTGAACTACTATTAGCGTCTACATTTTGTATTCAGTATTTGACAAGCGTTCGAAGCGTGAATTGTTGTTATTATCTATCCGCACTCTAATAGAGGCCGATTGAAATTAAAACTTATGGTTGAATATCTTATCTACTCTATTTATTTATATATTCATTTTAATTTTTTTTTTTGAGAAGTTCCTTGGTAGATTTTTTCCAACATTTGTTCAATTACAATACACAATATTTAATTATGCTTTTAACAGATTCCAAACATGTTTCTCCTCCTTTATATTAAATAATATATTGTATATTAAAATATTGAGAGCTTTAAAAGATAAAGTAAAGAGTTTTAAATTAAAATGTCAATAATATCCCACTGTTACTGTATGTATAATTTTTGCTTCTAATAGAAACTATTTACAATACGTATAGGTTCAAAGAAATAAAATAATGTTTCTTTGGAAGTTTGTTGGAGTACTAGAACATGGATATATATCTTATTACTAAGTCAATTCTCATATATTACTAGCAGACCGCTCAGACGTCCGGTCATATTAAAAATATCATTCCGATCTGAAAGCTAAACAAGGGTTATTATTTTTTTTAATACCAACCATGAATTTCTGTATAAAGTCTTTTATTACAACGATATGATAAAATTTATGATAATTGTAAACGATATTCGTGGTATGCGATTTTTTAACTGACAGTTATTTGAAATATATTCAGTAAAAAATGTTTAACGCTGTATCTAAAATGTATTAAAAAAATTACAAAAAAGTTGCTTCAAATTTCTTAAATGTTACCAATTTTTCTGAGAATTTTCCTGATTTTTATTAATATAAGAACCTTCTACGAAATAATCAGGAAGATTGGCAGAGTTCTTCTTAAGCTATAGTTCGATCAGGAGAAATAAGTATTCATTTTTGTTCATATTTAATTAAATAATATTCTAATTAATCTTTATAAAAGAAAAAGTTAGTGTGGATAAATAAATATATGGATATAAGATGTTATTATTCAAACACCCATTGGACGAATTTTGATAACATTTACTTTATATTTGATGGTTTGTAGTAAAAAATATCTTTTAATGCTAGAATGGAGTTCTGTTCAGATAATTTTTATTTGTAATTAAATATTTATGTTTGGTTATCAATATTACAAATAAATAATTACTTTTATTTTGTTTTCTTTATGATCAGTAACAGTTATTTTAGAAGTAAAGCCTGAAGATAAAATTGTGAAGATTATAAGTACGACGGGCAAGTTCTCATATCATACATAAACAATGTGAAGCATTCCCTCAGAGGCGCTCGTGAAAAACAAGAGCTCGAATGCGGTCACATCTTTTTAAAGACATGGTTTAAAAATAACATGACAATAGCGTTTTGAGGAAAGTCTAGAGGTGACCTGTTTCTAACAATGAAAATGGGTTCAAAACACTGCATTACACACGTTAAAATTTAAATTAAAACTATTTATTATACTAAATAGCACTTCAACACGTTTTGTTCCGTAAAAGCAATAAGAATTAACATCTGTGTTATATATGTAAACCGTTACGGTAATATTTCTTATTATTTGACTTTATTATCTACGATTATATGACTATATAATTTAATAAACGAAAAAACTTCTATAAATAAAAAAAAAAATTGTTTGATCAAAGGAATAACAATGACAGTTGTGATATTGGTTACATTATTGAATTCGATAATAGCATGGAAATGATTAAGCTTAATGTTTTATATAGTTATAAAATTTTTCATTTATGAGTACATATTGTATACGAATTATTATTTAAATTTATATTTTTGTTTCGTGACATTCAATTTATAGATTATGTTGCCGATTTTCATTTTTTATTTTTGTAGACTTATACTAAAAGCGTGAACACGTCATTTCAAACTGACAGCAAATAGCAGCCCTTGTGTCATTTGTCAATGTCACCAGTCATCGACCAAGGAACATTACATAACTCAATATACACATAGATTTTCCAATAACGATAACGAAAATATTATGTTTATGTTTTTCGCATTACTTTTCTTATATATCAGTTATTTTACTTACGTACATTTTAATACAAATTGCCTTACTGTAACTTATAACCCATAGTTAAGACAGCCAGATTATCAAGAAAATAAAATAGCAATACCATCATATTGGTAGTGTGGTACCAGGAATCTTCTGGTTGATACGTTTATAATAACATCAAGATTTTTTATCTATACAACGTTGTTCTCTGCGATATTTATTCAATTTTCAATAAATGCCGCGTACGTAACACGTTTTTAAATCAAGTTTTGACAAATAAATATATCAATTCTAAAATTTTTTCAAAAATTCCTTTGAAGCAGACAATAAAGAATGTTATTTTCAAACAGAAAAATGTACTGCAGTTTGGTATGACAGAATAAACAAACTGACTATCAGGCAAATGTTTAACCCACTTGATTCGGCACGCGAGGTTACCCACAATCTTCTCACGTTTATTTCGACCACAATACCGCAATTTATCTACAGTCGGCCAATCGCTGCTACACCACAGCTAATACATGTGATAAAATGTGACTTTAATGTCTTTATTTCATTTGTATTTTGGTACTAGTATTATTTAATTACTCTATCTATTTAGATAGAAAATACTTTTGAAAATTAAACTTAAATCTCGCAACTTTAGCATTTTTTATCTTATTATCTTTATATTGTATGAATCTTAATATCTATGAATTAATCAACTCCGTACTTGTTTCCTTTTTAATTGACAACATTCATAAACAATTTATTCATAAATATTTCGAGGCAATTCTTCAAAACAACTTTTGAATCCGCCTTAATTGAATATCATAAGAAAATAAATTTTTCAATAACTTCTAAAAATATATTCATCGTGTATTAAAAAGTATTGCAAATAGTTTACTTAAAGCTTATAAACATATTTTTCCTTTTTCCTCTTTGTACATATATCTCAAGATTTATTATCATTACTTGTAGTTAATATATAATAAAGGTATTTATTTAAGTCGATTCAATTGCTTCGTCAATCTTATTGAACGATCAAAATTATTGGTAATAACACCACTGATAGCTTGTACGGTTCACTGCTTGGTTTTAGTTTGTATATCGCCCGACTAATAACATTGTGAGGCGTCGTGGCTTCAATCACAGCAGACAACGCCCGATAACTGAATTTCGTTCCCGAATGTAGGAACAAGCGTTGCCCCAGGGATATCACCTATAAACTTAATTATTGAGTCTCCCTTGTCTATTAATCCCATAGTTAAGCATAGTACTAACAATCCCTTAGAATCGTTGTTTCAATAATGCAACTTTGATTACAGACAATATGAATAATGACGAAATCGACTCTAAATATAAATAAGAAATACATGAACAATACGTTGAAGTAACATTATCATTAGAACTTTCAAGCGAATATTTTCTTTACAATGCCTTTGCGGTTATTCCTGTGCACGTGAGGTGACTACTATGTTGAGCCTTTTCAGCTAAATTCTGCTCTGAACTAATTTGCCATTGGACGAGAAACTGCTGAAACCATGTTGTTGTCAGCGAAACTCTCAACGATCTTATAATATATGCATCAGTTAGGTACGTATTTATATAATTTCGTCAACACATATAGTGGTGGTATTAAAAGGATTTTTTAATTAAGAATTCTATTCATACAAAATAATTACAATAGTTCTGTTTATTTTAATTTCATATTAAATAATTTGTTTCAAATGTATATTACTGACTGTAGAACTATCGAAAATCTTATGTAAATAAAGTATACCATAATATTCTCAGAACTAGAATTTAAAGCTTTAAGAAAACTAAGCATAATATTGAAAGATATTATTTTAAATTACTCTCACGAAATATTGCCCCTGATTTATATAGACGACATATCGTCACATCTGAGAGAACAATCCAATTTAGTTTTATAGCGAAGGTGAAACCAGCGTATCAGCTTTGACGGAAACTAATCATCAGAACTCCTTCATTTCCACCTATCTCCTCAAAATACTTTATCTTCTCACCAGATTATTTTTACCTCATCTTACAGAATGAAGAAATATATAGATATAAGTATTGTATTTTGTAGATAATAGGTATTAAATTTGTGCTATGTTAGTGCAACCCTCTTCATTTAATGGCATTAAAGCCAGCCATGTCCCGTTGCGTGCAACAGCGCGATACATATTATGTACGGGCAAGTGAGTAAGGTAAAGTGCGTCACATCACACGACACCCCTTAATTGCCACACACAACTGATTGTGTGTAGAGCTGGCCTTATACACATGACGTGTCATGCATAATAATAAGGTGGAAAAAGAGGAAAATAATGTGGATTATATTTAAAGAATATTAATGTCGTTTTAAAGTACAATTTCATAAAATATCACAACGTTGATAAAATATAAAGTTTTTATATAGAAAAAAAATGTTTATCTCAATAAAATGGATGTTATTTTTAAGTCAGCTCAAATTTACTACACCTCACAAATATCATAGGAGAGTCTCTTAAACAACACGAGAAAAAACGCGGTCATACCTCACAACAAAAAACATAACAATACCGCATATAAACCTGAAAACCGTTTTTATATAACGGGTGTTTTTTCTAGAGGTATAGAACTTTGAAATAAAATAAAACAAAAACGATTTCTTTTATTGATATGAAATATAATATTTTGAAAAGATAATATTCTTTCATTATAATTAAAATAAGATTTCAGGCATATGACCTCCACGACTGGCTCGTACGTAGTTTAATCTGGAGGTCCAATTTTTAACGACTTTTTCCAACATTCGTGACTGTATATCGGCAATAGAGCGACGAATGTTATCCTCCAAGTGATCAACGGCTTCGGGCTTATCAGCGTAGACTGACGACTTTACATATCCTCACAGAAAATAATCAACCGGCGTTAAATCGCATGATCTTGGGGGCCAATTCACGGGTACGAAACATGAAATTATGCGGTTACCAAATGTTTCTCTTAATAAATCAATTGTGGCACGAGCTGTATGACATGTTTCAACGTCTTGTTGAAACCAGAACTCCTGAACATTATGGTTGTTTAATTGATGAATGAAATAGCCACTAATCATCGCTCTGTAGCGGTCACCATTTACTGTAACGTTCTGGCCAGCATCGTTTCTAAAGAAGTACGGACCAATTATTCGGCGGATAGACTGATTCGCGTCTTCTTCTACGCTACGCTCTACAGCAGAAATAACTTCTTCTGTACGCACTGTAGGACATCTCTGTGGATGCGTATTACCATTTAAAGTAAACGATCCATTGTTAATTAAATTAATTATTTTGATGGACGATTACGTGGACCTTAAAATGGACGTAGTGCGCGATACTTTTCTCGAACAGAGCCATGATTTTCAAAATAAATTTGCACAATTTGGAGGCGTTGTTCAGGCTTTAGTCTATTCATGATGAATTGCCAAACCAAATTAAACACAAATCACTGGACAGCTAGCAAAATAACTGCCAGTTAAAAAAGTATTGGCAACTTAAAGTTGTATATCTCTAAAAAAAACACCCTTTATAAAAAGGGTTTTAATACAATAATGTTTGTTACTGTAACTTAAATGTTGAATTAAGGTTATAATGTATCTAAATTATAATTAGTTTTTCATTCATTCTGATTTCGGTAATGAATGTATGTTTGTTTAAATTAAGTTAAACATATTAAAGTCTTATTATTTTTCATATAACAGACTAAATTTTCTACTATTTAAAAAATCATTTAATGTTGTGTTAACAGCGCAAGTAACTTCCCTTAATCACAATTTTTCGCTGTATATCTTATGACATGTAACATGATGCATTAAATGAGTAGTTTTTTCTTTAAAATATAATAGAAACCGTATTGATCTGCTTTCAAATTTTTACTTAGTTAGGTAATAGATTGATGAATAGTTAAGTAATTCGTAACAGATATTTCGTTATATGTATTCTTATTAATGTGGGTGTGAACAAATTATAATAGCGTAGATTTATTATTTAGTTAAAAAATAAACGAAGACCAACTTTTTTTTTTTGCTCTTTACTAAACTATTAAAAAACCTATTAGTTTAATTTAATGTCAAAAATATATACAATCTCTTTATTTAAAGGTTATTATTCATTTGTCACTGTACGTGGTTGTAAATAGTTGTGTAATACAATGTCGGTTGAATTAATGATAAAGTAACTGTTATTAAAATATTAAACTTAGCACTGTACAAAAGTCACAGTCAATTCACGTCAATTTGAACCACAAAACCACAATTTATCTTTAGACGACCACTCGGTGGCTAAAGTAGAAAAACCTATTCTTACCAAATGGGATGTCTACTAAGCCATTACATTTATTGTAAATGACTAGTTATTTCTAGTAAAAAGATTTGTTTTATTCCCATCTTTATAAATTAAAATGTATTTTGTTTATAATATGTATATCGTTTTTCTACATAAATGTTGAAAGAATATTTTCTATATATTAAATATAATAAAACTATGAAGGCTTAAAAAACTAAAAATATATTTTAATTTTCAAAACATGTCTTCTATATTTAATACCATAGAATTGAGGTAAAATATTTATAACATATTTTACATATTACATTTCTATAATATCAACTCGACCCTCAAGGGTGAAATAACAGTATGATATTAATATGCCGTATCCGTCCGTATTTTAGCTATGTTTTTCAACATGCTCTCGGTTCAACAAAGCGACACAAATAGGCATCACAGTAACGTCACGTGCGTGTAAGTGAGACGTAGCGCGTCACATAGCAGAACACAGCTTAATTGCGGGCCCCATACAGACGGACTTTATACTGCCAACATTCAAATGCTATCCGCCTTAACCAAGGATAAACCGCCTGTAGCATCAGGCATAAACAAACCATACTTTATAAACAACATATATTTTGAAGAACATATTAAATTCTTATTGTTTTATAGATCTCGGAACGAAAGAAAGAGTACTTAGTCATTCCAGATAATACTAGAGTGTTAAAATTTCATTTGAGAAGTTATAATTCTCGTCATTTAGGTTTATATCTTGAGATAAGCCGACACAAAAGTTAATGGGTTGAATTCTTAGTGCCGCAGTTAACTTTGAGAATTCCTAAAAGAGTAAAATGAAAATCAATACTTCGGATCATCACGAACATGGTATTACTTTTGCCATTTCTAAAACGCTTTGCATTTTTGTTAGTAAAATTTTAAAATTTCTTTATTCAATATATAACGAAAAACATGATTATTCTATTAATTTAATTAATTGTTTTTTTTTTTTTTGGGAAAGGTTATAAATTTTGTAATACGTAGGCATAATTTGTAAAAACCTTTTAACTTGAATCTTATCTTAGTCTAAAGTTTTTGATGACATACTAATAACAAGAAGTCTATATAAAATTATTTTTAGATGCAAAGTTTTCGACATTGACAAATGACGCCAACGTTGTTATTGACTGTCAAATCAAAGTGATGTGTTTTCCCTCGGATATGAAAGTGCTGACATACAAACAATATGAACTGAGCTAACGATAAAAAATTATCTAACACGTTGTAATAATATTTTTTGTACACTCTAAAATTAATAGCTATTGGAAAATAATTTTTACAAATAAATTATATGGGGTGGCAACCTGAGGTTCCAGGAAAACTACGAAACATACTTATATTTATATTAAAATAAAAATTACATGTTAAAACTTATAACCTATACCTAAGATTGCCCCGATATTAGGATGACAATGGCATTCTATTGCTTGTGTGGTATGTGGAATCTTCTGGTTCACTCGGCTTGGTGTTGACTCCGCGGAGTCAGCGGCGTCACTCGTTATACGCTATTTTACCAATACAAAGATGTTGCCCCGGCGATGTTCATTCTATTTCTTCAAATGTAGTGCGTACTTGCTTCGTCTTGGCGAACTTATCGCTAAAAAGCGATTTCTTCTATATAACTAACAAGGAAGAATGGAATGAGCGACAGAAACGTTTTCGTAAAAAAAACCTTCCTTTAATGCAGAAATCAAAGTAGTAAAAGTAAATAATTCAAATAATACAAGTAAGACGGCAAGAATAACTTTTTTAAGAAGAAGCGTTGTTACATTTTTTAATACAATAATTTTATACAACCTTTCTTCTCTTTTTTCAAATTCATTTGTTAGGAAATGAAATAAAAGTTTGTTGATTATTTTTTATTTTACCCTTAATAATGGTATTTTAGACTGTGATTTTATGTAAATAATATTTTATTTTAGTAACATTAAACTGTCAACATAAGGCTGTTTTATAATTAACATAACTTTGAAGACAATTTCCCTATTACATGTTTTGTTACTTATTAATTCCATGTATAAAAATTTATATATAATTTTGATTGATGTGATCTATTTTTTTTTTAATAAATTTTCTTTGTTTGTATAATGAGATCTAAGGCTTTCGCGAGTATTCATTTAAATAAAACAATTTTTTTTCGGATTATACCGTGATAAAAGAACCGAAACGTCGGGAGTATGTAGTTTTTACAATAATAAAATATAGTGTAATCCAAAAGATATTAGTTTTTTTCTTTATTTGAATTTAATGTTGGATAGTAAAGATTTCATACAATACATTAAGAATAAGAAAAATAATGGTGTAAGTTGAGTAAGTAAGACGTGGGTCTATAAAAATAATTATAATTTAAATTCCATTTCTATTGGGTTAAATATTCAAATCACACAAGTCGCTAACACTAGTGAAGATTTATAAAAAAATAAGGAACTGTGAAGTTGTTATATAAATAAGTTATCGCGGTATAGACTTCATTTGTTTTAAGAGATATTTTATATACATTTAAATAGCACAGACGAAGCAATTGAAATAAAAACATAAAATATATAATAAAATCAACCGTAAACGAAGAATGTACAGTGTAGTCCAAATTACATGTAATTAAATAATCACTAACGATTTTAATATTCCACCGTTGCAAATGTGCGGTATCGCAAATCATTTTGCGAGATTCCGAATCAGCTGAGGCTGCGTTGAATCCAGATAGGGGGAGCGCTATGTTAATGAAGCATGGAGCTGATAAAGCCTTATTTACGAGCACTGTTAACACCAGCACTTAACAGTACGTATGAAATAATATATATTGCAGCTATTATAACCATCCATTTGGTTACGAATATTCAAAAAGCATAATAGGGACTATCAATTTTAAATGTTTCATTTTATTAAAATTTTCATAAAGTTACTATTTCTTTTTATATATTTATTTTTTTTAAATAAACTATTGTATTCAAAAAACATAAGGTTTTGAAATCTTCAGTCAGCAAGTCAAATTGCATTTTTAAAAATCTGGAATTTAATTACGTATTATATGTATTATAAGGTAATAAAATTTAAATTAAAGAAAATTTACGGTTCAAGTTTTATTTATTTTTAATGAAACGATTGTTTGCTTATATGAATTGCAAGATCAGTTTCAATGTCAGCTAAATATATATATATGAGTCAGAGGTAAAAGAAACTTATAACGATGATATACGGTTTAAATTTCAATGACAGCCTTTGAATATGAATTACAAGACGTTAGTGTATTCCATCGGGTATTGGGTGTAGGTTATACAAACAGACAAAATAATTGTTCGTTGTATCGGCGATAATCAACATAGCGTTTAGGATAGCACTTAGTATTACATTTTGTTGTTGCGATAAAATGATGAACAACGTTGAAATATGAAACCAATCATTGATTGTTAAATGATAATGCAAGTAAGAAATATTACAATATAAGTACAAAATAAAATTATTAATTATGATACTAGCAGGATTCGAACTTACAATTTGGATGCATTTTTGTCAAATATTTAGTTTTCGAATTTTTATACAAGTATATTGCTTTAATGTTGACAAGAATTGCGCTTAATTGTACGAATACAATTTTTATAATGTCGTGATATGCTTTATAAATTTATTTAATAATCAAAAATCTACATCTAAGTGAATATTTAGTTATGCCTTATATTCCTAATCATCTGAAAGAAACAAAAACTCACTGTGGAATGTAATAAATCCTTCAATATTTGTTATCATAAATTTCAAATCATATTAAGTGTATATAGACAGGATTGGCAAAAGAGACAAATAATGATTTTTGTCTTTGACCTTAAGCTGATTATTAGAATCTTGATATAAAAAACGTAAAAAAATATATTAAGAATCGAATTATTGAAAATGTTTCAGTTGCAATGTATTTTTTTTGCTTAAGAAAAAAAAATGGAAAAGTCATCGTACTTTCCAAGAAAGGAATATTAGAAACAGTAACTATCGTTGGTTCAGGCACGTCGGGGATTTACTTTTAAGCCGCAATTGAGGCAGCTAATAAAGCAAGATTATAGAGATAGTTCATGGAAAGCATTCAATATGAGATATATTTTATTATTTCAAGAAAAAGATTAGGGTTAGCTTTTGTATGTGCCAGTGAAATGTTGAATTCTAAAAATAGGATTAATTTGTGTCAAAAAAAAATCTTGACATGTTAATTTAAATAAACAGTATGTAGACTTTCTTAAAATTTATTAAAAACATAAAGTCAAAAGTGATTAGAGAGAGATTTTTCTTTTGTTTTTTAACAGAATTTTCAGCTAACTTTAGCTTCAGGAAGTCGTCGAAACTAGATGAAACAAAAAGTTAATATTCAATATTAATAAAGCTAAAGATTAGTATATGATTGATAGTGAATTGTAAGTAAAAAGGAGCATTTTCTTTAATAACTGAAGGGTGAAGTTTCAAATCGTGACTACCTAGCAGAGCCATACAGAAGAAAACTAGTATCCCTCTACATTGAGAAATTAATTATTTTATTTTATACCTGTAATAATATTAACCTTAGATAAGTGGGTTATTTGATATAAGAGAAATAATAATTAGTGAAAACATTTCGTTAGATTTAAGATAACGAAAGCCTGACAAATAAAAAAATATTAATAGTTACAAGAAAATAAATATCCGAAATAGTACATAATTACTGTCAATTGTCTTAAATTTTTTCCAGTAAAAATTAAAATACCTTTAATTTAAAAAAAATTTCAAACTTCATTTTAAATTATTTGTTTGTAAGCAATTTAAGTGTGACCTGTTTGTTTAAATAAAATTTAGTGATTAACTTTTAACCCTCCTCCTGTATACAAATCGTCATGAATTATATAAGGAGTAACTAAATCTTTCAAGTACATATAATATACGTATACTTTCCAAATAAATTTTAACACGGATTCTCTATAAAAAAAACACCTTCTTTTCGCATTAACTGCGCGTTTTTTAATATTTACATACTCCCGACGTTTCGGTTACTTTGCCTCTGATCACGGGGCAGAAACAATTAAAATATGTCATTTTGAATTGTCTTGAAGAAAAATTGAATTGTGTTTTCAATAAATTATAGTCTTGCCAAAATTTATACTCATTGGTGGATTTAAACATTTATTGTAAGTTTATCTTTTGACCTGACTCTAGGATACACTCCTCAATCTACGGTTAGAGTTAATAACATAAATTGATGTGTGCCAATATGTGCAAGTGTACTTGTCAATAAATTACAGAACTACTGAGGTGTAGAGCTATAAATGCTGCAGCATTCTTAATCTCATATGGTTTTAATACCTTACACCATTATGTCAAATTTGTTCTTATTTATTAATTCTGATCTGGGACTAGTTTCTTTTGGAAATAAAATAATAGGCACATAAACCATGAAGAGATTTCCTTTATCCCTCTCGAATCAGCACTTTTGTTATCATGAAAAGTATTGAAATAGATATTGGTATAGAAATCCAAACGATCAAAAACCTGAATTTCCTCGAATCGAATTCCACGGCATTCCACCAACGCTAGAGGAACTAAGTAGTCAGATCAAGAGGAAGTCGTCTAAATCTGCACCGGGACCCGATGGTATCCCATATATAGTCTTTAAAAAATGTCCATCGGTTCGTAAACACCTCCTAAATATATACGGTAAAATCTGGTCAGGGAAGCAAATCCCGGAGTGCTTCGGGAAAGCAATTTTTGTCCTCATTCCCAAAAAAGATATAGTTACTGATCCAAAAGATACTAGACCGATAGCTTTAACAAATACTATATCGAAAATCTTTTTCTCGGTTCTACAAACGAGAATGACGCGATTCATGCTCAGCAACAACTATTTTAGGCCAAATCACCAGAAAGGGTTTTTACCCGGGATTTCTGGATGCCTAGAACACAACACCTTGCTGTCGGAGAGTTTGAAAGATGCTAGAAAAAGCGAGCGGCAAATCACTGTTTGTTGGATAGACTTGGAGAACGCGTTCGGGTCGATACAACACGAATTGATGCTATTCGCGCTTAGATGGTACAACTTTCCACCCCTAGTTAGAGATATGATCGCGTCGTATTACTCAAAATTAAGGTTTTCTATAATAACTAAAGAAGGCCCTTCAAAAAGTTTGAGTTATAATGTAGGACTGTTTCAAGGTTGTTGTCTATCTCCAATTACGTTTAATATCGTTATTAACATCTTAGTAGACAAATTAATCTGTAACGAGAAAAAATGGGGTTATCGGTTTAAGTTTAACAATAAATACACGGAATCCATTTTAGCCTTTGCTGACGATCTCGCAATACTGACACGTAACCCCAAACACTGTCAAGTACTATTGGATGAAGTGGATAAATTCTGTGAGTGGACGGATGGATTGAGGACAAAACCCAGTAAATGTCATTGTCTGTGTCTTGGTAGGCGGAATACAAGATACACCTCATACGATCCGGGACTATCGTTAGGCGGTCAATGCATTTCTACGGTTACGGAAAATGCACCATTTAAATTTCTCGGTCGTAAGATTGATAATATAGGCCGTACTCCATCTTTAGAAGGAATAGTAGATAGCTTTTTGAACGATCTTAACAAGGTAGATAGCCAACTGATAAGTAAGGTCAAAAAAGCGTGGATCTACGAGAATTACTTAACTTCAAGATTGAATTGGCCTTTCCTCGTCTATGATTTTAATAAAACCCTTTTGTCAAAGTTAGATGCAGGCGTCATAAAGATGTTGAAGTTGTGGCTCGGGCTCGCTCTAACGGCTGATTCATCGGCGTTATTTAGGGGAAGCAATAGTTTTGGGATGAGTCTAAAAAGGCCATCGGAGCTCTATAAACACCTAAGAGTTTCCAAGAGATATATCCTGGGGAAATCCCATGATGACATAGTGACATCGCTCCCAAAAGATGAAGATGCCCCCGAGCTGGAGTCACGACTTCGGTTCCATAAGCAATTTATGATAGGAGCACAAAGTAACAGAGCGGGGTTAGGATCAAATAGGAAAGTCCAAGATGCGGATATATTGAAGTCTTTTATTCGGCAAGACGAGAATGATAAATATAAGATCCATGCAATGAATTTAGAAATGCAGAACGAGTGGTTAGACATAGGAGATTTTTGCATCCCGTTAGCATTAAAATGGCGCACTTTAATTTATGATTGGTCGCCAGCATTGCTAAAATTCTATCTCAATGCGTTCCAGATGACTCTCCCAGATCAGAGTAATTTAGTAAGATGGGGTAAAAGTACCGAAAAAACTTGCTATATCTGTGGAGAGGCAGTTGGAACTGTTAAGCATCTGCTGGTGAGATGTAAGGTACTCCTGGACAGCGGTCAATACTCGCGTCGTCACGATAGGGTTCTAGAAATCATACGTGAAGCGGTTAGTCTTTCGGTAGCCAGAGCGCAAAAGGAAATAACCACAAACGAACGATCAGTAGGTTTTGTGAGAGAAGGCACTAGGGCTACAAAATCAAACGTCAAGCCTTACTCCATCCTTAAAGCGGCGTCGGATTGGACTATAATGATGGACACGTATGAAAAGCAATATAAAATCCCCGAGGATATTTCTGCGTCGGCTTCCAGACCGGATATATTTTTGTTTTCGCGAATTTTAAAGCGCGTAGTGATGATAGAGCTTACGGTCCCTTGGGAAACCAACATCCCCAAAGACCATACCATCAAGGTCAACAAATATTACGAGCTCACAAACGAACTCACTCGAAATAGGTTCGTAGTAGATTTGTACGCGGTAGAGGTGGGAGCGAGAGTTATAACAGCGAAATCTCTCTACAACCTACTAAAGGACTTGGGCTTGTCCAGAACTCACATTAATGCATTCTTGGAACGTATATCGAAGGCAGCCCTAGTAGGTTCTTTTCAAATTTGGTTAGGTAGGGAGAGGAGCTTGGACAGTGGAGGTGAGCGTATAACTCGCGTTAGTTAAGGGGCCCCTTAAACCTACACTTGGGTCGCAAGTCCCAGGCACTGTTGAAGCTGCTCTCCCTGCAACGCGATGGACCCGGCACCCGCACGGTGAATCCATGGATTGCTTAGTAGTTTCGTCTCATTGTTGGTGCAAGACGTTACTGACTGGTGTACAAACGCATACATATGTATGGTCTCGTATCATTTAACAGACCATCTAAATTCAAATATTTGGAGAAGAAAATAATAAGAGTAACTTTTAAAATTTCGTTCAAAATGGCGTCCTCTTTTAACATTAAACAGTAGGAGAAGGATGAAATTTCACAATGTTTATGAAAACTTGTCGCTATAATATATTTTTATATTTACCGTTAGCTTTATTTGTCCCTCATTATGAATTTCCTACACATTTTGTTTTTCGAAATGGATAGACCCCATTTATACAAGTATTTATATTACTTTTCGTTTAGTCCTAATAACCACCATACATCAAAGTGAATTCTATTTGGTTTTGTTGCTTAACCTATTTTATTTTCGTTCTTAAAAAAGTTTCGACATCATATATACTACATGAAGAAATCCAATTACATCGCAAGTGGCCGTATAAGATAAATTTATTTTTTGTTTCATGTCATATTAAAGTTACAGGGATGGGAAGGGGGATAATGTCAGTAGCAACTCAAGAAAACGGGGTCCATGAGGACTCCCAAACTGTGATCGGGAAGATCAGTAGATATAATTGAGTGAAATAAACAAAATAAATGTATAGTCCATTTCAACAGAAATTGGAAATCTTGTAAACAAAGCAACTGACCACGATTACTCCGTTCTTAAGTAGAATTGAATATCAGTCCTGATAATAATTACATCTCAATGAACCCACCACTGTTTTTATATATCTTTTCATCATTAAACAATTGTGTATTTATGTTTATTTTATAAAATAATTTTGAACACGACGATTTATTACATTTCTCAAATCGAGACGACCATTTTTTACTCATCAAAGTGTATTTGTTTATTTACTTTATTATATTGAAGATGTAAAATTAACTGTAGTGTTTTCTATAAATAAGTTAAAAGAAGATGGAATGGTTTACCACAGTTTTTTCATTATGTGTGTTACCACGGCGCTGTAATTTATTTTTAAACGACCACTCTGTGGATACAGTAATAATAAAACCTATTCTCGTTGAATGTAGAGCTTAATAAGCTTAAACATACTTATTTTACTCGTGAAATTAATTTAATGTCTTTCTTTTGATAAATTTCAGTATGGTATTTGTTTATTTATTAAATATTATCGTTAATATTTTCACTTTTTACATTTCTATATACAGTGATTTATCACCTATGTTTGCTTGTCAATACGAATACTGGAAGTCCATTGTCAAACATTGTGTACAATATTTTACATTAAACCAACATTTTGCGTCATATGTTCAATTGAAAATAACACAGGAATAATCAAAATAAAGCATTTTATTTATTATTTCATACTTCTCGTATTTTATGTGCATCTCTGACAAAATATAAACGTATTTTTTTATCTATTTAAACTCATTGATCAAACTTTATTAATCGAAGCGACCTTTAAGACTGACTTAGTACTATTAGAGTGAGATACTACGAAAGGTAACTGTGCGTATTTCAGCTATGCTCAAAGTCACTATGCAACTAAGTGGCACAAATACGTAACACATACATGTTAGCCAGTCGAAGTGCATCACATTCTTGGCAGAATACCTTAATTGAAACAGATATATAAATGGACTGTGTACTTTCGACATTACAGTGGTATACGACCTTAACAAATTACAAAATTCAACGGAAAAAAAATTACTATCAATCACAATATAATCATTATTACACTTATTTAGTACGATAAGATTAGTGACGAAAATAATTTGATATCATTATAGAAAGCAACGAAAAGAATTGTCAGCCACACCGCTTCGTTAATTAGTTTTAAAGCAAAATAAAAATCATTACATCGTCAATTAGTCGAGCCACACCACTGAATTGGCAATGCTTTTAATGAAATTCTACAAATTTAATGTGGAATATTTATTAAAAGAGAATAGTTTGTTTTTTATTTATATATATTTTTAAGTATGGAGATTTAGTAATTTAAACAAGTATATGTCACCATTGTCTTCTAAATTAATTTTTGTTGTTTATATTGACCACTTCGATTTTCCATTTATTTTTAAATGTTGAACAATACAAATCTAGTTAGAAATTTTCTTTTTCAATTTTCAATCATTTGAAACCGTGAATTTGCACTTAATGTTAATTACTTACCTTTCAAGCAAATTAATTAATACAGTTAAATCGAAAGCTGCTCTATAAAATGTATAAATAACTTATACACTACATTCCTTTGTATAATATACATTGGTTGTGAAATATAGATATTTTAATATAGACTGGGGCTTTGTGCAAAATTGGATCCTTTGTTAGCAATATAAAAGTAACGTGACTTCGATAAAATTGTTTTATAGAATTAAGCATTAATTTTCTTCAGCATGACGGTGAATTACCAAGTGAAAGAAATGATTTCTATTATTTGACAGCTTGCCAAGTCTTTAAATGTCGAATTGTAAAGAAAGTCCTGTTCAAATCCCTGACTTCTAATATAATCACTGGACATACGGCTCCGAGCGTTTGACATCAATATTATTGTGCTTTTTTGAAGGGCCTGAAGCGCCACTGAGTGTCCAGCGAACTAATTTTGACATATGATACAAACTGCTGCTAGAAAAGTGTTTTTTTACGTCCACCAACTTCTATGTCATCGCCTCAATTACGAAGTCAGCTACTATATTTATTATTTCAGTCACAGGAAAATTATCTTATGATGTAAATATTATAAGACAAAGAAGGATCAAGAACAGCTAACTAATGATGATAATTAAATTTCATCAACTCCTCAAAAGGCATGAATAGAATTTGAATTGTTACATTGATCATCGCTATGAAATTACCCTTGGGTCATCAATACAATTTGCCCAGCGAACAAAAACATTCTTAAAAATTTAAAAACGAAAATCAAAAGCTTATTTCAGCTTCTACTGAGGTTGAAATTGAAAGTAACATATCATAAAAAGTGTAATAAATGATAGATTAAAAAAATGTTGGTTGACTGATAATGACTTCAAATATAACTTTTGAATAAAGGGCTTAAAAACAAGGTGAAAATTTGAAATCATTATAAATACCACCATAATTGCGTGCTTTTGCAATTTCCTTTTTCCTAACGCTTCCCTTTTCCCTTCCTTTCCCACTTTTTCCCTTCATCTTCTCTAAAAAAGCGTGGCAACATATCCACAACATCTTTTATATTACGGATGGCGACGGTATTACCCCCATCGGGTAGGCCTTCTGGTCGGTTGCCCCCTTTAGAATTAAAAATAATAATTACAATAGAGATCAGATAGTGTGAAAACTCTACACACATTGGCCACATTGGCTACCTTGGTGGAGGACGTTGAAACAGAGAATCAACACTATTAGCCACAAGTATTAAAATTTTCAAATCTGTGACTGTGATTCACTCACATCTTAACAACATGATCTGATTACAATACGTCCAGGAAAACTCTAACAGTTTTTGTATTGAAGAACATACAATCAATCTCTCACGTCTTACGTAGTACATGTAAAGAAAGCTTACAGAAATCGCTTGTCAGCTTTTGCATTAATACTAAAAGTCACAGATTCTTAAAAAGGAACTTATTATATTTTCAAGAGTTCTACGGACGTGCTTCTTCTTTAGTCGTGCAATTTTCTCCCTGAAAATAAGTTAGCCTTCCCCTAATATAACCCAAGAAATCAAACTTATATATATTATATTATGTGTTGGTTTTTTCTTTATTTTAGAGACTTGATCCCAAAAGAGACTGCATTTTAATATAGTAATAAAATTGATAGCTCCTTAAACCGTTTAACAGGCTATAACGGTTATTTCTATTAACCTAACGAATAACTGTCTGGATTAAAAAAGTTTTATTTATTCAATTTATTTTGTATTTTTCAGTTTTAATATTATTCAATGCTATACTATGGTATATGTGTACTGTGGTATATGTTGTATTCATCGACGATAACGATACTGAGGTATATAATATATGTATTGGGACTTCATATA